CAATATTTGGCTTAACTTCGCATCATTTTGATTTCTCGATAAATTCTCATCGTTCGTTTCCGCAACTGTGGCTTTAATCATTCAAACTGGATTCCAACAAGCAGTACGTGTCGCGATTACATCGCGGCTACCGGAGGCTTAAGAAGTTATTCAAGGTAAGCATTAAGGAGACATCGTAAAGAGATAATAGAAAAATATTCCAATTGGAATATTTGTACGTTGAAGTGTGCTTTCTTCCATCGTCATCATCACTACCTCCCATTAAGTGCTGCTATCACAACTTTCTCCTTTTTAAAATACCAAAAGTTATTTGTTTATCTTTGTCGAAATAATTGTATGTCGTTAAAAGACGAGGGAAAACAAAAATATAAAAAATAGAGAAAAAAAATCGTAAGAAATATTTTATAAGTGTTAGTTAAAGTGTAAAAAAAAATATTTTCTTTTTCTTATTAACGAATAAGACAAATGTTAATTGTTTAAAATCGTAAAGAGAGGGAGTATAGTGTAGCAGCCCTTGCGCTAGCCATTCGGAGCAAATAGCGAACGGATACCTTACTTACGGAGAAGATGAAAGAGTCGAGGTTAACATACTGCCTCGCGGCATGAATAATTTACGCTCGGTCGAATTTAAATAAATTCGCCTGGAGCCGAGTTTGCGCGAGTGCGCTATACGTAATCTTTCTCTCTCTTATTATTCTCTTTTTATCTCTCTTTTTCTTTCTTTCTTCGAACGAATCGCCTCGAAAGTTGTTTACAGAGGCCTTCAGAGTCGATATTTTAAACAGGTTCGCGACGGAACGCGGAATTTTTGATAGGGCGACCAGTTGCCAGGTGATTTTTTATTCGGTCTAGATATTCCTCTTTTATGTACCGCACGAATAACATTCTCTCCTTTCTATTTATATAATTTTGATTAACCTTTTTCTTAACGATATTAAAAAAAGAAAAAGAAAGAGATATAAATTGTTTTTTACGAATTTGTGGTAATTACGTATCGTATAGTGTGTAAACGAGAGCGAGAAAGAAAACCTTAGTGTTCGAGGTCGAGAAGTCGATTAACAACGGTGCCACCGATAGGCTCGTATGAACTTCGAACCCCTCCAACGGATAATCAAGATTCCTTCCTCCGAGTGTTTATTCTCGGAACAGTCGAAAAAACATGTTTTCGTGACTCGCGAGTTCTCTCTGTCTCTCTCTCTCTCTCTATCTCTGTTTCTCTGTCACACACACACGCATACATATACGTATTAACTCATTTATTTGTCAAGACTCTCATCGAGTTTGTCTCGTGAAGGTATTTACCTCTTTTTTCAACTTTGAAAATAGATTTTTCCGATACTTCGTAGAACGACAACAAACCAACTTATGTTTATTACCTGCCATTACAACCCTGCCCCCTCCTTTCCCCATTACCATTGCCGTCATTTAGATTACTATTAAACCAAAAAAAAAAATAAAAAAAACAATGCTTTAGTTTATGCATATAATAATATGTCTATTAGAAAAAATGGTAACGAAGTCGAGATAAATATGAAAAAGACGACAACGTTACCGTGTACCAATCATTATCGGTGTATCCTTTCTGTTACGCACCCATTAGATCTAATTGTAAACTGGAGGAAGAAGCACTCTAATGTAAGCTAAAGTCTAAATCGTGCTTCATCATTGACCCCCGGCAAGAGTACTTTTCTTTTCCGAAGCACCTCGTCTCGATCGATAACGCTTAAAGCGCGAGAAGAAGGAAAACCTACCCTCTCCCTTTCCTTTCCCGACCGTCCGTCCTCTCTTCTTCCTTTCCACCCTTTTCTTCTTCCCTTTGCCTCAAAACTACTAACTCCGTTCTTTTTTCCTCTTTTTTTTTTTTCCCCCTTTTCTTTTATACGCAACGCTCTATATTCTTTATTTTTTTAATCGCTTATTTATATCATTCGGATATCATTTGTATTTCTTCCTTCCTCCCCCTTCTCCTCCCCCTCCCGCCTACAACCCGATCAAAATATCTTTTCGATAAGTTCAAGTTTATTCCGCTTTTCTTTTTTGTTTTTTTGTTTTCTTTTTTGTTTTTTTGTTTTCTTTTTTGTTATTTTTTATTTACGAACTTGGAAACCCCCCCCGCCTCTTCTCTCCTCCACCTCTCTCCCCTCTAAAAAAAACACAAGCTGCATGGCCTAGTGCAATAAAATTCTCTTTATTTTTTACTTTTCGCTTTTTGGTGCAAGGGAGGAGAGAGATATAGCTTGCTGCGCCGCTGCCGCCGCCACCGCCGCACCTCGTGTTCTAATTTAGGTTGTGCTCGCGACACGTTTCTCAGCGTCTGCGAATGCAAAACATTTCATTCACGGACAAAAGTGTCGGCCGCCTGCGCCGCCACCGCCACCATCGACGACGACGATAGGCGTAGTCCCTTCTGTGTTCTCGGGAAAAACGAAGCGAGGGTGGGGATACTCGGAGATCGGCCTCCTTCCTCTCTTGCCTCTCTCTCTCTCTCTCTCTCTCTCTCTCTCTTTCTTCTTTCTTTTCTCTCTTTCGTGGCTACCACCACCGCCACTGCCGTCTGTTGTACAAACGGTGAAGAGAGAAGAAAGACGAGGAGGGAGAGAAAGGTGGTGGACTATGTTGTCCAGTGGTTCTTCGTGACACTTTCTCACCCCTTACGAGAATTATATTGTGATACTCTTGCAGTTTATTTGTGTTAATTTTTGTTTTCCTTTTTCTTTTTCTTAAGAAAATAATCAAATAATTGGATATGAGTTATTTTAATGATTGAATTTGAAAATAATTTTCAATCGGGTGTCATAAGAAATTGATAAAGTATTGGTTCAGTTAGTAGTAGTATATAGTAGTAGTAGTAATAGTAGTGTAGTATATATTACTGGAGATGAATAAAATGAAGAACCACTGATAAGATGGTTGGTACTGCGTGCCGCTGTAAGAGCGCAGCACCGTTTGCGCCACGAAAAAACGCAACCGCCATGTAAGTGGGAAAAGAGAGGGAAGAAACGAGCAAATGAGAAAGAGAGAGAGCTTGGAACGTTATAAAGGACGGAAAAAAGGCGCGCGTGCGAGAAAGAGAGAAACGAGTGAAGCTAAAATTAGAATGTCCGTTGGAATGCCGCTCGTTCTCTCGTGTGTAAATGCGTACGCGTGCGTGCATGCGTACGTGTGTGTCTCGCTCCTCTCTTTTCGCTATACGTGCGACTATGCTGTCGCAGTATGCTATAGAAAGAAAGAGAGAGAGAGAAAGAAAGTGAGTGAGTTAGTGTCTCCGTAAAGGGGACCCAAAAGTATCGAATAGAAAAGAAAAGGTTCCGTCTTTCCGAAAATTCCCAGGCTTTTCCTTCTCCCTTCTTATTATTCTGAAAAAAAAAAAAAAAAAAAAAAAAAAAAAAAAAAAAAAAAAAAAAGAAAAGGAAACTTTTAACGTTCCTCCCGTTCGTTATATTTTTCTTTTCGAAAAGAATGAAATGAGAAGCTGTGAGAAATAAAAAAAGAAAAAGAAAAAAAAAAAAGAAAAAAAAAGGTAAAGGGGCCGATATGTATTATTTCCCTCGTACGGGAGCAAAACGCGTTCCAGGGATTGAATCTGCTCCTAGGAAGAAATGCGGTCACCGTTAAACTCCACGCTGTCTCTCGCAAATCCTCTTTTCCGATGAGGGCTTTTCTCGTGAAAGGGGCCGCCAGTGTCTGCCTGCCTGCCTGCTATTCTCGTTTCTCTCTTTCCTTGAAAAAAAAGAAATAAAAATAAAAAAAGAACGAAAGAAAGAAAGAAAAAATATGGGCCAACTTGTTTTCTGATATCGCACGCGCATACTCTTCCAAAATACTCCCATAATACTACTTGCTCACTTCATACCGCCGCCCTATGAAGCATTTCCCAAGGCGTCGCGTTATTGGGAAATTCGTTGTGTGTTAGAGACGAAATGGTTTGAAGTCGTGACCCTAACCGTAGATAAGAGTATAAAGGAGAGATAAGTTTGAAAGAATGAGGGAGAGAAAGAGAGGTAACTCGAGCGTTACTCCTCGGAACGTCATCGTGTAGGGCCTACTACGACGACGAGGCTTCTCTCAAGCTAACGCTCTCGAGGAGGAGGTCGACGGCCTGATACGGATGGTTGACGACGTTGTGGGGCTCGCCTCGTAACCGGCCTGGGAAGAACGCGAACGTCCTCTCTCTTTCTTTCTTTCTTTCTTTCTTACTCCCAACCTCCCTCCCGCCCCTTCTCCCTCTTCTTCCTTCCGACCCTGTGCGAACATCCAAATCGGCCGTTTTCTTTTCAAAGTCCTCCGGAAAGAGAGTATTGTATCTTTCAGGTAGTATCGTGTATGTATAGACCTACGTACGAGGATGGGAACGAACTAGAGCGTGGGTGAGGAATCACGAAATTGGGCCATACCGCGTATTTATCTTTTCCATTATCTCTCGACAGAGGTGGGCCCACTCAGCTCTTCTGTATCTGTTCTTTTCTTCCTTCTCTTAACACTTTCCCTCTCTCTCTCTCTCTCTCTCTCTCTCTCTTCATATTTCTATGTCTTATTTATATCAGCTTGGTCTTATATCGTCTCGCATTTCGACGGAAGTGCGTTGCTCCCATTCGTCTTTCGGGACAGGAAATGAAATGATTAAGGGTCGATGGTCCGAAGACGTAAAAACGAGTAGCGGAAATGCGTAAGACGTCTCTCGGCGTCTTCTTTGCTTTTCGATCGAGGAACGTTCGCTGCTGGTAGAGCGTGAGAGGATAGAGTTGTGTGTTCTCTGTCTCTCTCGATGCGTGGGGCCACGTGCCGCGTTGGTAGTGCGATGACGTCAGAGCTCAACTTCCGCTGCGCGATTTCCCGATGCTACCGGATGAGAAGAGTTAAGAGTACCGGATACCGGACTCTCCGTAGATTCTCCTCGCGTCTCGCTACCGGTTATCCTATTCGAGTCTCGAGTATCATCGACTAAAGTTCATTTTAAATTTCCTCCAAAGAGAAAAATGGATCTTTTCTTTGTGTTGCAGCGTGTGGCGAACCAGGCGCTTACCGTTTCGCCACAGCCGGCAGTAACGGTGGAGGGGCCGGTGTCTAAAATGTCTCCACCGACTAACGACGTGACCAACGGTGTAGTGGCGCCAGCAGCCACCTTGGCGCCCCGAGTTCCCACTAATCCTTCGCTCGCCACCGTCAATCCGCTCACTCATAAGCGCACTCCGAAGGATTTCATTTTTGGCAAGGTGATCGGCGAGGGAAGTTTCTCAACCGTAAGTATTTCCTTTTCAATTTTCATTAATATCTTTTATTGCTATGAATAATAATGATGATAGACATTAAAATGATTGTGAATCTCTTTTGCTCAGGTTTACCTCGCCAAGGATATCCATACCAGCAAGGAGTACGCGATAAAAGTGTGCGACAAGCGTCACGTTATCAAGGAGAAAAAAACCGAGTACGTGAAACGCGAGAAAGAGGTGTTGAACATGCTCGCGACAGCGAAACATTCTTTCGTGCGTTTGTTCTGCACCTTCCAGGACATGGACAGACTCTATTTTGTTCTATCGTACGCGAAAAACGGCGAGCTCTTACCTTATATCAATAAGGTTGGCTCGTTTGACATCGAATGTACCAAGTTCTACTCGGCTGAGATCCTACGTGGTCTCGAGTACCTTCACGGTCTCGGTATCATTCATCGCGATCTCAAGCCAGAGAACATATTGCTGGATGATAAGATGCACTTGCTCATTACCGATTTCGGCAGCGCTAAGATCTTAAAAGATCCGGAGACACCGCAAGTAGTGGGACCTCCGGCGGATGACGCTCAACAACCGCAGCAGCAACAGCAGTGTCGCAAGGAACGCAGAGGTTCCTTCGTTGGTACCGCGCAGTACGTTTCACCGGAATTACTGACCGACAAAACGGCGAGCAGAGCGTCGGATCTTTGGGCGCTCGGCTGCATCGTCTATCAGATGGTCGCCGGTTTGCCGCCGTTCCGTTCGCGGAGCGAATACTTGATATTCCAAAAGATCTTAAAAATCGAGTACGAAATTCCCGATGGCTTCTGCGAGTTGGCTAAGTCCCTCGTAAGTCAACTCCTCGTGCTCGAACCGAACGACAGACTCGGCGCGCAGGACGAACACGGGGCTGGTTATCCTAGCATTCGTGCTCATCCGTTCTTCAAGGGTGTCGATTTTGAAACCCTTCACGAACAAACGCCACCGCCGATTTATCCCTACTTACCCGGAACGTCGGAACACGAGGAACTCAGGTCGCAGTACAGAGTTCCGGATCATCTCGAGCCCGGCCTCGACGACAAGCAACTAACGAGACTTCTCGGAATTGTCATTGGCGAGGACGACGACGACGATGACGATGACGACGACGAGGAAGATCAGGAAAACGCGGACAGCAACGTTGAACCTACTAGCAACGAGCCGAGCAAAAGAGTCATTGACAAACCTGCCCGACGCGCTGCTATACTTGCTGCCGCAGCTGCTGTCGCCGAGAGACAACCGAGGAAGACCAGGACTTCCGGCACCGAGAGTAACATCGCTGATCTCACCCCTGAGGAGATTAGAAACCGATTGGAAAAGCAACGAACGTCTTGCCAATGGGACGTCTTTGTCAAAGGTAATCTCATCTTGAAGCAAGGATTCGTCAACAAGAGAAAGGGCCTCTTCGCTAGACGGAGAATGCTCCTACTCACCACCGGACCTCACCTATACTACGTCGACCCTGTCAACATGGTACTCAAGGGTGAGATACCCTGGAGTCCCGAACTCAGGGTTGAACCTAAGAACTTCAAGATTTTCTTTGTCCATACGGTAAGTTTCTACATCCTCTCCCACTATAAAACAAATTTTAATCGTTTCATCTATCTTATATCTAATCGATCCTTCATTTATTTGTTACAGCCAAACAGGACGTATTATCTCGAAGATCCTGAGGGATTCGCATTAGAGTGGTGTAAAGCTATCGAGGACATGCGAGTCCATTATTACGGCCTGCAGGAATCCACAGCTTAAGAAGTAACATTTTAACGAGAGCAATGATCACCACGACTCGATTCTGAAACGCGTTCGAGAATACAACGGTATAAACATTCGACAATTTCATCATTTCGAATTAACATTATATAGGAAAAGAATTCGTTATATGTATATATAGACACACAGATCCTCTTATATATAGGATGACATCTTTAGGGATCGATAGATGTCGCTTCTATTTTAGGACAAAAATTACTCTAGATCGTTTTGGTCGTTTCCCTTCCTTCGATTGGAGGGATCTTATACTATTAGGTAAATTATCGTTGGAAGAGGTAGTTTCAATCTGCTTCGAGACGCTAATAAATAGAGCAAATTATTTAGGGACAAGTATTTGCGACGCGTCAATAATCGTTCACGGTTGATCCCGAACGTAAAATGTGGCCGTCGTACAAAGCTTTAGGAAAATTCTTTATTAGTCGAAATTTATATTTACGGTTAGATAATGATGATAATGATGATAATGATGATGATGATGATAAAGAAAAAGAAGAAGAAGAGAAGTGAACTCGAGGAAAAGGGCGGATGAGAATTTAGATTATAAGATAGGACGTTTATGAACGGATCGATAGGAAATAGAAAGGGAAAGAAATTTTTTGAAGGAATCGCAACGCGGATTTTCCTACCATTTCGCAGCTTTTTAAATATCGCTTTTCTTTTTAAACGTTACGTTGTTACATTTCTGAAAAAAAAGAACGATTCGGTCGAACTAACTTACGATTCCTTATGTTCGTATTCGATATTTTGTTTATTTATACTAATATAGGTATATAATTTTTTTTTTCTTTTTCTTTTTCTTCCACTTTTCCAATATTTTCGTCTGCCTATGTACCTGTCATGTAAATAGAAAAAAGAACCATTTCATTTGAGAAAGCAGGTCAAAGACTTAGCGATGCGAATAGAGGGATGCATGATCGTGCATCCTATTATATATATATATTTAGAATTAGTAATTAGCGTAATTTATAAGTACAAAAACGTGTGTTCTCGTCGCGCCATCGATCCGCTTCTCCTCGAGTTTTCGACTCTTGTCTTTCCGTTTTCTCGTCGCGATCATTTTATCGAGTTCTTGCGGATTGTATATATATATATAAAAAAGAAAACAAGATAATAGAAAATTGAAAAAAAAGAAAAAATAATAAAAGAAATTGTTCGGAAAACGCAAAAAACGAAAATGTATAATAGATACATCGATTTTAGAGCAAAGGCACTTCGAAAAACCGAACGCGATCACATTTACATTAAATAAGTAGATAGTCTTGTTTTTTTTTTCCTTTATACTAAATTTAAGCAACAAATATATATAGGTAACTATTAAATATATTTAGGGAAAAAGATAAGCGCACCGAATTTCGCTATTTATCGCGTGCGCCCGCGTAATTTATTTTTTTTCGTGTTAAGCTAATCATTATCGTTGTCTCATTACTCGCTATTATTATTAATATTATTATTATTACTATTATTATTAATATTATTACTATTATTATTATTACTATTATTATTAATATTATTACTATTATTATTATTACTATTATTATTAATATTATTA